ATTGTCAACCGCATGTAAGTGGAGAAAAGGTTATGATGGCTGATCGGCTCCCGCGAATGATAAATGTTATAACTTCTAATTTTGTGTGGATTAATAAATGTTATATTGAATTGGAAAATAATATATATATGTATATGATGTTTTCAATTTCCGAACAGTTTTTTTTATTTTGATTAATTTGAGAGGGTCGAGACTCTTTCACTCCGACTGCACCCATGTGATGGTGATATCGATGATAATAAATATGCCTAACGATAGGAATATAAATATCATTCTGTCAGCCTAAGGTCATCAATTAGATTGTTTGTATATAGGCCTATTAGTAGGTATCACAACATTTTATCGGCCTAATGAAAAACTTCTTTAGAATGATGCTGATGTTAAAAACTATTTTTAAAAGGTCAGTAATGGGACAGTTTCTGTGGATAAGCTTACGGAAAATTTTTTTTTTTCTTCCGAATTTTGTGTTCAACAGAAGAGTTAAGCTTGAAATTATAATATTTTAAAAAGGACACGGCTAAAAGCTAACGCCTATAAAGTCACGGAAATACCAATCAACGCTATTTACAACTGTATGGCAACAGTCAATTTATTAATTAGTGGAAAATTTATATAGTGAAGCAAAAATACTACCATTTCAAGTGTCTTTGGTGTCCCAAGGTTTGCTGAATAGACGGCAAAGGAAAAATGGGAAACTTAAGGCTCTGCATGACTTATGGATGTTATACTTTAATGGACAATTAAAAACAGAAAAATATCTCAATCTATGCGCTGAAGCATGTGATGATTGAATCTATCTATGAACAGAATAATTATTATTATGAGCAGAAACAAAAGGAAATAAAAGACCAAACCAGTGTAAGTTTGTCCTCATACTGTAGTTCTTATCTGATGTAGTTGATGTAGTCTACTCCAAATTCAAATTATACTTCATTCCCCTGAAATGACATTTTGTTGCCTCGAAATGAATATAATAATACAATTTCCGCCGACGATGGCGCTGTGGGAGTATCATTACACAATTAAATACTATTTCATTCCATGAAATAATATTTTTAGGTACGAAATCTTATTGAAGGAATAAAATAACATTACAAGGGAACGTAATGTTATTTCGAGGGAACAAAATATAGGCTGCTATTGAATGATCATCATTTAAATTGGCTCATATCTCAACCTTGTTTGGGATTTTCTGCTACAGCTGTGTCATCTTGAGACAGGATTTCAAACACGCAATAAGACATCAATGAAAT